CTATCTACCCCTGGGTAACGGTCTGAGGAATGCTGAGAAATACTAACGCACTTTTCACTATGTAGCCCTCTGAATTGAAAACAGCCTACTTCCTCTGAGGTGGAAAGGTAAGAAACTGCTCTAATTACTGATTTCAAGTATATTCTTTCATTTCTCAGTTTTGCTGTAAGATAGCTGGCTGGTCCTTGGCAATTGAGAGGCCCTGCATAAAAGATTTAGAGGCTGCTGTCATTCCACCGTCATGGAACCCAGCTGCTACCAACTTCCACCACTTAATGATTCAAAATGCCCTTTGAATGCTTTCATATGTAAAGGGGGATTGCAACCCTCAACTTGAGAAACACTGACCTAGAAACTATAAACAGAATGAAATAAATGAAAATTAAAGTTAGTGCAACACTTCCTCTTACTGGAGAAGTTAGACATAGCTGGAGGCTGCAATTTCTCCAAAATCCAAAACCGAAACCCAGCATAGCCCTGGACACAGTACTGTGTTTGAGAAAAGTAAAAGCATCTCTATATTTCCATCCTGCTTTGTGTTTAAGACATAGCTGTGAGAATGAGGGAGGGCACTTTTCTGTGGCAGTTTCCTCCTTTTCTAGCATACTAAGAGAGAATACTTCCTGCTCAAACACTTCCCTCCAGCACAGAGAGTTCTTCAGATTTAGTAACAGGATATTTTACTCCTGTGAGACTTCAGTTCAGAGATACTTGTTCTCCCTTCCGTGCATCAGCCTTCTTTATGTGACACATTCCAAACTCATRTTTCTTACTGCTCTCCTCCTGTATGAAGACACCATGGTCCCAACCACAGAATCACAGAATCACAGCTCTGGCACAGCTTGCTTAAAGAATGTAATGAATGACCATGTGCTCATTCTTCAGAAATAGTAGTAAGACACCACTCACTGAAATTCTTTACGTAGGTTTCTGTTGCTAATATTTTCTCAGATATTCCCCAGGCTAAGAGCCCAGCAGAGTTGTTGCATCATGTTGTTTACATAATGTGCCTAGGTCTCTGAACAGCTGAAACATGATGACTCATCACAGACCAGGAAACCTCAAGGGGAAAAAAAAGTCTAACAGCCACATGAGTTTTTTTCCTCACTACACTTCAGTCCCTCATTTTTACWGCAAGTTAATGGCTTCTGCAAGTCATGGACTCCAGCACTTCAGTGTCCCTGGAAGATTTCAAAGAATGTTTATATGTGCTGCTTATCGGAGGATCTGGCTATGTTAAGGTAATGGTTGTGCTCAATGATCCTAAAGGTCTTTCAACATTAATCATCCTATGAACATTTATGAAATGGGGTTTTCCTGTTTAGGACTTCAGTGCTTGTGAAGAAATAATTTWAAAAAAAAGGTACTAAGCATAACTAAAAAATTCCAGTGAGGCTTTTGAGGGGCTGATCACTACATTCTTGGTTCCTGGCAGTTCAGAATGGCTGAAAAATATGGATCACAAAGCTCAGAAGTAGGAATTTATGCCACTGTGTTGCTACCATCTTCCCTCTTCAGCACTTCAGAAACTAACCCACAATCATTCACACACTTAGTTGGAAGCTTAGTTTCCAACACTGGGCTCCAAGAAAAAAAACATTACACATTTTGTGTAGCTCTATGTCTATCTCTAAGTTCTCAGTACTTTACAAAAGCAGTGGTAATGAGCTGGAGCTCTTACTTAACTATAGCCAGCATTAATAGACAGTTAAGAGCAGACTTCCTGTCCTATCTTTCTATAAAATGTCTTTATCCTTAACCATTACCTGCAAACTTGTGTCTGTAGACATTTACACTGTACATTTCATAGTGATGAATAAAAAAGCAACAGAAGTTAGGTTTTTGCTGTCCTGAGAGGCAATGAGATGACAGGCAGCTTACCATCTCATAGGTAAGGGTTTCTTGTCTGCAAGCTCGATCAACAATAATTGTTTCTTCTCTCCTCTCTAAGGCCTTCTTTCTAACTCTGAGGGGCAAGAACACAAGACAAAATTTAATTCAGCAATTTCAATGTAAAATTTCAAGAATTTCTTATTTTTAAAAGACACAAGCTACTACAGAACAGCTTTCAAAGAGAAGAATTCCTGTCTGTCTTAGTGGGACAGACTAACTTAAAATACTCATCTCTTGACTCTCATAAAACCAGACAGTGCACAGACCAACTTGTAGATTTCAGCTGGTGGGTTTTTTCCCCCTTATGTGAAAATGACAGGTTGTGAGCAGTTTTACCTGCACAAGAAAAAACAGCAAAATGCTGTTTGAAGAGGCTGTCCTAGGACAAAATACTTTTTGACCTTTGAGGAAGCTGTTTAAATAATCCCACTTCAAAAAAAATCAAATTAATGTTCAAGCAAAACACAAAGAAAAAACAACTCACGAATATTTTTTCTCAGCCCCACAGCATAGACACTTTAAAAAATCCCAAAACTTCATTAGCATTTGTAGAATAGTATTGTACATAGAACACCTGCCGAAATACATTATTTACACTGCATAAACACCAAATCCTTAACATCCACAACAAGTCTACTTACCCTCCAGACCTTCCTAAGGATTTTCAGAACAATCAGGCTTAACACTGACCACAATCTAAACACATTTCTTTACATTTGGGCTATGAAAAGCATGACAAAAGTCTCAATTGGCCAAACATGAGTTCAAAGTTTGTTAACTGATAGAACTTACCCTCTGAAATGCACAAGTAGCATCAACAAATTCTATGAATGAAATGAAATTCAATGAAACAGAATGGGTTCAGATAAAGAGATTATCTGGATAGAGCATCATTACACTGGCTACTACAGTGTGATTGTGAGTCACTAGAAATATGAGATTCATACTTCATTAGAAGTATGATTTCTTTTGCAAGACTTCGGAGGAACCTCACACACGACTATCAGAAGGCCCCTGCACATTCCCAACTTAGGCACTACTTCAGAAGCATCTAGATCCAGAAATCCTAAGCTTTTCCAATAAGAAAGATGGTATATTCTGCATATCTTAATAAAAAAATCCTAAGCAACACTCAAGCAGAAGACTCCTACCGATGACCTCATAATAAGCTGCTGTTTCTGCCTTTACATTATCTCTGCACTTACAGTATTTTCTGCACACTGCTTCAGAAAGTACACAGATGCTGTATAGGGAATAAGCAGTCTGCCGTACTTCTGGGCTGATTTTCCACCCGACCCCAAATAAGGGTACTGTGAGTGCACCATAGTAGCATACCGAAGGGTGAGCAGATTGCTATCTTCAGGGATAACATCTGGGTCCTCTTCTTTTTCAGAAGACATTAGCATATCAGTGCTAGAACAATAAAAAAAATAACATATAATCACAGAAGAGTTTGGGCTGAAAAGGACCTTAAAAATCATCTWGTTCCACTCCCCCACCTCCACTGGTAGGGACATCTTTCACTGGACCTGGTTGCTCAGAGCCCCATCCATMCTGGCCTTGAACACTTCTAGGGATGGAGCATCCACAACTTCTTTTTGTAACATGTTCCAGAGCTTCACTGCTCTATACAGTAAATAATTTCTTTCTAATACCTTATCAAAGTCTATAGTATCCTCTTTGGCAGTGATTTCTCACAGTCTGTGGAGAAGTATGAGAGACAGAAACCTGAAGGTGGCTTCACCAYCTGGTCCCATTTATGGGTTCCCATTTCAGGTTGTGCTCTGCAGCACACCAGATTCAGAGGAATCATATATCCATCCCTTCCTCTGCAATCCTTCCCAGAAGCATTTTGCATTAATCACAAAGGAATTTTATCCAGCTTAAAAATAGGCTGAGAAAAAAAAGTTAAAACAGGAAAGTATCACCTGCTTTGAATCARACTTGACTGCTTTTGTCTCTCCACTTTTGCTGACTATATAAATGCAGGATATACAAGAATGCCCAAGACCACCTGCAGTTTGAACCCAGCAAACTCTTGTGTAAAYCCATCTCTTTATGGGACAAACCCACCACTGCTGAAGTCCAGAGAAAACTTTTGGACTGTACCATTTATTCTCAATAACATTTATGATTTTATTGTATTATTTTTCATTATAATCTTGTAACATTTGCCATGTCAAGAATAATATCACTCCAGTAATGAATAATTCTTTGGAGAGCAACTGCATAGGAATACAAACTAATTGAGGAATAGAAGTCTGGAACTGACTGTTATCAGCTGACAATAAGCAAAAGTCAGAGACAAAATTTTCATTGTGGACAGATGGCCTGGTTCTGATGAGCCAAGAAAGTCCCTCTGTATTGACCGTAATTTGACTTTACTGTTGTTTGGTTACTTACCATCCAGCAATATACAATGTTTTAAACTTTCTGTTTTACATTTTTCATCTCAAACATAAAATATTTTTTTTTAAGTTACTGAGAAAACGGGGTTTCTTCAGAAGCACCATTTTAAAAGGAACTTTGCAGTAATTAGCTCAAACTTCCTGGAAACAGAACCAGCTTTATCCTTAGATTCTGACTTGAGAAAGAGGAGGCAGATACAATCAAGTTAATCCTATGTCAAGTGTAGACTGAAATACAGCTGAGAAACAGTAATTTAACTGACAGAAAGATGGAGACAAGCACTTCGGAGAACACATTTCAAGCATTAGCCTTTTAGATGGGGCTGTTCTCCATGCAGCATAGACCTGTGTTATGAACAGCCCATCTAATCAAGTAAAGTATATGCCCTGACACATAAATCAACTCACATCTGACCCTGTAAAACTGGGACAGCATGACCAGATTATTTATCTAAAGTCTTTGGGCACATGGATCAGTGATCCCATTCACCAARGAGTTCCAAGTCACTCAAATACATACCATTTTCTAGAAATTACTTTGTATTCTGTTCTTTAAACACCACAGATGTAATTTGCAGGTTCTGGAAATGTTTATTACCTACCATGGTGAAGTTTCACTTGCATCAAAGGCAACAGTTTCCCACCTCCCTTCTGTGCCAGAACCCACTAACAATATGTCAGAATTCACTAACAATACTTGTGATTTACTTTCTTCCCACAGCCCTAGGAGGGATCTCTGGCTGTGGTACCACACCATGCCCATTAATTGCCTCCTTCAGGGAAAAAAATTGACAATCCCCATAAAGTGCCTACAAGCAGACATTGTGTAAAATAATTGACATGAACATGGCTTCCCCTTTGTCCTTGTATGGACAGAAAGATAGCAAGCAAAGGAATACTGACATTGAACTCCTGACAAGTTCTGTYGAACCTGGCAAGCACTGGTATTGCCATTTCACACTCCTGGAAAGTCAGAAACGCCCAATTTCTAAAGGAAAAGCACAGCAATGCAATAATTAATTACACATGTCATGTATCACATGCACTGAAGTCTTGAAAGGCTTTGCTGTATGGCCTCAGACACAGGCCATGCTGGAGCTCCCCTTGTGCAACTCCACTGCTGCCAGTGGAGTTGGCCATGTGGAACCACATAACCAGTGGGAAACAGATTTTACAAACMGCAAATATATGCTGATCCCTCCAGAAATTAAGGCTAAGTCAGTGTCAGACACCTAAGAGATAAAAATGCGTGCAATACACAGTTTGCACTGGGCACACCTTACTCCTGACTGCCTGACTGCTGCAAAATCCCACTGTATCGCCACAGAAACTAGTCCCGGTGTGCACAATAAATACACTTGGTGTACACAGTTACAACAGAGGGAAAAACATTGGCCATGCTGTCTAAAGGAAACCAAGGTGAAGGACAGTGATGAGGAAAAATAGTTGAAGGTCTCACTTGAAAAAAACAAAATGTGAAGTATTGTATGAATATATGTCTCTTAGAAAGATATTTTAAAGTGGTTACAAATAAAAAGGCCAAAGGCAACTCTCTGGTAATGTAGACATGGAAACAGACTACCAATGAATCCTTCAATCACTGAGACTACTTTTCACAGAATATTCTAGCAACATAATCAGTTTTCTCAGTTTTATAAATTCAAAGATATTTTAGTAATTGGCCTGATACTTTATAAAACAGTGTTCATATTGCTCTCTATATTGCACATATTTTAAAGGCAGCACCTTCATCACCTTTAAGACACTAATACCACAAGATGCTAAATACTAATACATTAAGACGTTAATGCTAGCTTAATGCAGCTTTATAACACGTCCCTAGAGATATTTACCACTACCCCTTCTAATAAAACAAGAAGGTGAATCAGGGCTGAAGTGGAATAAGGTACCTGCAAGCCTCACCTCTCTTGACCTACCTAAAATCCACAGTGATTTGATGCTTAGCCTGTCCTACACATGCATGCAACAAATCACACCGAAGACAAAACAGAGTAACATGACTCAGCATCTCCAACATTCAAGGACTTTGCTCAAGCACCAATTATAAATCCCAAGGTAAACTTCTTTGCTCACAGACTGCTGCAGCATTTGAACAAAATCTACAACATTAAACTTCTGACACCTGAATTACCGATGGAATCTCCTAGATAAGGACACAGTTTTACAGCTAAGATCTGATGAAAACACAAGCAACCTCAGTAATGATCAACCACATACAACTTGAGCAATACACAAAGCATTCTTACTGCGTCAGATGCAAGTGAGTGAAGTTGCAATTTTTCATTTCAGCACCTATAAAGTTATATTCACACCAATAATAAGTTGATCCCAGCATATTATGGAACAKATCTTGGTGTAGCCTGGTGTTTTCATCTCTCAAGAGAGGAAMATGAGCAGAGCAGGTAAGTGCAAGTGATCAGAGGTAGTGATTTGAGGTTGGCCAATGTTAAGGAGAGACTCAAGAGGCTAGAGCTATTTAATTTAAAAGCAAAAGCACTTGGAGATWAGGGATTGGGATTTTCAGCCTGAACAGAGGAAAGGTCACATCAGGATGTGCAGGTTTAGCTTCATTCTCCTGCAAAGCCAACAAACGACTGCCAGATGATCAGTTCTCTCCCCATCGTAGACCATCAGTCCTTTTGCTCTTTCCAGAACTCTTTCCAGAACTCTTTCCAGAGTTTTCACAGTACACTCAGCCTCAAACACACAGCATTGCTCTGTAACACCAGCAAATTAAGATAGCAAGTGAAATGCAACAATTGTAAACTGAAGAAAGCAGAACAGAAGAAAAAAGCTAAAGGAACATAAAGAAAAGTAAAGAAAGCACAGGAAAAGTGCTCAGAATTCAAATGAAAACAGCCATAGACAGGTTCAGGCAGCAGTTATCACAGAGAAAAACGCAMGGCACAGGAGCAATCACAGACCATTTCATCTACACTGGAAGACATTACAGAGTAAGAGCTTAGAGAGTTTACACAGTTTCTGCTACACAGAATATATWTTTTTTTAAACCATCAGCATCCTCTATTTTTATTAAGTCTAGTAATGGTAAAAATTTATGCTAGTCACCAGAACTGYGACAGCTGCTGCACAAAGCTATATAGACAGGAACAGAACTCCAACATGTCTTCATTATTGATAGGCTACAGATAAATTACCAACTGTCATGCTTTCTACAGGAATTACTCCCTGAAATCAGGCCTTTTCTACAGGTAAAATAATTCTCACTGTCCACGTGACCTGAAAGCCTTCCACCTACAGCACGTCAGATGCTGCTGCTGCTTCAACACCTACAAAGCACTTGCATAGCTCCAACTTCTACAGTAACCCTAAAAAACCCAAAAAAACCCAACAAAAATAACCAAACAAACAAACAAACAAACAAACAAAAAAAAAAACAAAAAAAGAAAAAAAAACCACCCAAATATGGCTGTGGAGGCTAAGGACCAAAAGATACTCAACACTCAACAGGTACTGCTGTATGCTGCCAGCTACCTGAACTAATTTAAAGGATTTTTTAAGGGATTCAAACTAGAAGGGAGTAGATTTGGATTAGTATTAGGAAGAAATTCTCTACTGTGAGGATGGTAAAGCACTGTAACMGGTTGCCCATARGAGTTGTGGATGCCCCATCCTTGGCACTGCTCCAAGCCAGGCTGAATAGATGAACCTGCTCAAGTGGAAGCTGTCCCTGTCCACGGCAGGGGAGTGGAACATGATCTTTATAATCCTTCCAACCCAAGTAATTTGTGATTTCATGGTTGTGATTTCATGGCGTTAATACAAAGCGATGTCTAGTTTATTGCGCCATGTAAGATGTATGTTTCACCGYGCAGCTGGTGTCTCCTAAAACCACACAGACGTTCAGATCCTTAAAAGCTTTACCGAACCAGTACTCTGTTGCTATATGTATACCTATGCAACTTTCCAAGCGCCACATTGTGTGCTGACAAATTTAAGGATGTAACATAGTTTCCACCACTGCAGAACTACTCTCCAGGAAAGCTTTGTTTTCCTTCTCCGCTATGTATTTGTTTCAYGCAACTATACTACAGGATTAGGAATACTGGGTACAAATTTAAAAGGAGGGGAGGGACTTAGGTTCGGTATTAGGAAGCAATTCTTTACAGTGAGGGTGGTGAAGCACTGGAACGGGTTGCCTAGGAAAGTTGTGGATGCTGGAATTGCGGGAGTGCTGATGGATGGAGCAGATTGGWTGGAGCTCTAGTGGTCTAGCTCTGGAGCTCTGTGGTCTAGTGGGACGTGCACGTGGCATGGGGCTATTTGTCCTTTAAGGTCCATTCCAAGCCCGTGACAGTCTGTGTTTTTAGAATTTACTGGGGAAATAGAAACATCCACTTGGCACAGGCCCGCAAGAGACTGCTCTGAAGCGGTTTCGCCCGAGCACATCCCACCTCTCTTGAGGAACGGCTGCGGTGTCTGAACGACAGCACCAGCSACTTCCCAAGCAGCAGCGCCGAACGTGGCCACCGCCTCCCCCTCGCACCGGAGCCGCAAACCCCGGCCTGGAGACAGCCGTGCTTCCCCACCTGCACACGGCGCGCAGCTCGGCCGCCGTGCCCGGCTCGCAGCCCAGCGCYGCCGCCACGGCCGCGTCCGCCTCCTCCGCCGCCTCCGCCGCCAGCGAGAGGTCGGGCGGCTCCAGCAGCTGCCGCCAGCCGCGGCTCAGGGCGCCCACGTGGAAGGAGCGCGTATACAGCTCCGCCGACTCGTACTCGGGTACCACGGCCTCCGCCATGGCCGGGGCCCGCCCTCACCCAGCTCCGCCACACGCGTCAGGAGCTGCGTCACGGGCGGTGTCACAGGCTGCGTCACGGGCCGGGGCGGACA